GCGCTGAGATTGCGCGCGAAAATGGACTATTTGGGAAGGATTGTTCGTGCCTTGCGGTTCGATTTTATAGTTACCGATTGTCAACAACTGTAAAAAACGAGATGCAATGCTCGAATAATCGTATCTTCTCCTTCCCAAATTGTCCATTTTTGTGCGCAATCTTAGCGCGAATTGGGGAGAAATTACTGTATTGTTCTCTGGTAGGAGCTTTTCGCATCCGTCGCGTCAAGTATTACCACGAAATATTCGACAACCCTATTGTTGCAATATCTTAGAATTTGATGCAATCCGATTTCTGATAAAAGAAAGAAGGTCTTAGTATTTTAAAAAGACACATGACTGACAGAGTGAACTAATTCCCATGAACACACAACGAAAAGCATAATCAATTTTAGCGTAATCAAAGAGACATCGGAATTTATTCACATCCGAAAGCGAGACATTTTTCGCAGATTTCTCATTGGTTCACGACAAAATGGTTCACTAATTTGCCTCGCAAGAAAAAATGAAACACGAAGACCTAATCGTCAATTGTTTTCTGCTTCTTAGCTTCCAAATTCGTTGTTGATCCACAGTCGTGGACAAATGTATATGTGCATTTTGCTTTTTGAAATGGGATAATTGTTTCTACGTTAGACCAAACGGGTCGAATTTTGTTGAGGTCAGTAAATCTTATAAATACAGATGATGCAATAAAGAAATGTATACAAACACAAATTTAAATAATGCTACATATTGCATAGAATATTTTATAATCATACAAAAATCATTGTCTCAAAATTCCTTCCTTCTACTGATTCAAAATAGCATGTACATACAGGGTGTCCCAAAATTATGTTACCTCTGGGAAATTAGGGGTTCCTAAGGTCATTCGAAGTAACTTTTTCCTTTACAAAAATTTTCTGCGTGGCTTCGTTAACGAGTTATTAACGAAAAACTCTGACCAATGAGAGGCGAGCTCGATTAGCGAGCTCGTCTGACGTGATGCGGCCCAGCCAACGAGTGCACGGAGCCCAGTTCCCCTCATTGGCTCAGCCGTTTCGCGCCAAATGATCTCGCCTCTCATTGGTCACCGTTTTTCGTTAATAACTCGCAAACGAAGCCGCGGATCGCTTTTGCGCTAAGGAAAAAGTTACTTGAAATCACCTCAGGAACCGATTGCGAATGACTTTAGGGACACTCTATGCAAATATAACATAGCATCTCGTATAAGTATTTTATGACTAAACTGCGCATTTGTATACAAAATGAAAATTGTCCAAGTTGATTATTCGAAACCTAAGATCGATGAAAATGTCTTTCTTCCTTTAATAATTCTAAAAAGTTCTACTTAATATGAAACTATTCTCAAACTCTTATATTTTTACGGTCTTCTTTTCGATCTAGTCGTTTTTGTCAAAAGCGCATAAAATCCGCAGTCTCTTCATAACCGCGAGGATACTTCATGAACGTAAGGATAACCGTCGCCGCAGCTTACGAAATTGAACTATCAATCAGGTGGTAGAACACAAGCAAAAGTGCGGAGCTGGCGACAGCTCGTAAAAGGGAAATTATCGGGAAGATTAATTCGCTTGGCCGCAAGTTTTTGATTTTCCGTCGTCCTCTTTCGAAATTCTAATATTGGACGCACCGTTAACGGGACAAGCTTCCAATTAATTTCATACTAGAAGACAGCGATGCGTGTACAATATAAAACCGACTCCATAAACTTCCGAGTAAATTTGCTAATAAAATCAGTTACGGACGAGCGAATAACACAATTATTCACGGTAAAATCGTGCCGTCTACGGTCGTAGATCAACGTGCTTCGGCTGTTGCAATTTAATAACCAATTTGCTGTTATCGAGCGTAACACGAAAATGCTTGTCGCACGGTAACACGCGGAAATAGCATACGCGCGTATACAAAAAAGGTGTAAAATTTGTCAGAAATCTATCGAAGTTTATATCGCTGAATCGCTATATCGCTATAGCTACAGCTATCAATTATATCGCTAAATTGCAATCGATGCGAACGATCGACAATTTTGTTAATCATTAAATCTTATTAATCACGCTTGAAGATCAGTTTTCAATACGAAAATGCTTGTCGCACGATAACGCGGAAATAGCATGACGCGCGCATACGAAAAAATTGTAAAATTTGTCAGAAGTCTATCGAAGTTTATATCGCTGAATCGCTATATCGCCAAGTCGCTATATCGCTATAGCTACAGCTATCAATTATATCGCTAAATTGAAATCGATGCGAACGATCGAAAATTTGGTTAATCATTAAATCTTATTAATCACGCTTGAAGATCAGTTTCTAACACGAAAATGCTTGTCGCACGATAACGCGGAAATAGCAAGACCCGCGTATACAAAAAAGTTGTAAAATTTGCCAGAAATCTATCGAAGTTCATATCGTTGAATCGCTATATCGCCAAGTCGCTATATCACTATAGCTACAGTTGCATCGCTAAATTGAAATCGACGCGAACGATCGAAAATTTTGTTAATCATTAAACCTTATTAATCACGCTTGAGAATCAGTTTGGATAACGAATCGAGCCGGCACGGTGTCCAATAGTAATTTAGCCAGTCGATTATGTATGTCGCTTGTTCATGGAAATTCGTACGAGCGGTTCAAAATATTTGTTAATCATGAATGCTTAACAAGCAGTTTGGATAGGGAATTATGCTGGCACGTGACCAATAGTAAATTTAGGCGGTCGATTACGTTTGCGACAGCGATTAAGAGCTAGAAAAGCGAGATTTTTGCCGGTGGGCTTAATTCGATGGTGAAATTCATTGATCGTTGCTGGGAAATTCGTGCGCCTAGCCTGCGAGATTTCCGAAGCTATTCGTATGGATCTAATCAGGATTAGATTGGGTCCGTAGTGTTCCTCTGTATTGATAGTGGATCGGTCGCCGATAGACCAATCTGTGACGGAACAATCGTCAATGCTACAGCATACCTAATACAGATGGTTCCGTTGTCGATATCCGTACATGCCAGGCGCTATTAAACTGAATCAATTGGACTGCAGTCCATTGTACCAGCAGCATTTCTTTTTTCCCCGCGTTTCCGACGCTCGTGCGATCGAGTCGTTCGCTGAATTAACGATAACATAATCGGAACGGTTGCTGCCGCAACGATTATTACCAAACAATGAACGCGACGTGTTCCTAGAGCGCGTTGAATTAGGTTTCGAACGCATAGAACGCGTGGAACGCGTTACAATTTGGTTTTTTACCGAGCCAAAATGTTCTATGAAGAATGAAATCTTAAACAAGGACAAAATGGCGAAACGGAACGGTAGCTGTCGCAACGATTATTATACTAAATAATGAACGCGACGTGTTCGTAGAGCGCGTTGAATTACGTTTCGAACGCATAGAACGCGTTACAATTTGTTTTTTTAAGGGACCAAAATGTCCTATGAAGAATGAAATCTTAAACAAGGAGAAAAAGGGGAAACGGAACGGTAGCTGTCGCAACGATTATTATACTAAATAAAGAACGCGACGTGTTCCTAGAGCGCGTTGAATTAGGTTTCGAACGCTTAGAACGCGTGGAACGCGTTACAATTTGGCTTTTTACCGAGCCAAAATGTTCTATGAAGAATAGAAATCTTAAACGGAGAAAAAGGTGAAACGGAATGGTAGCTGCCGCATCGATTATTATACTAAATAATGAACGCGACGTGTTCGTAGAGCGCGATGAATTACGTTTCGAACGCGTTACAATTCGATTTTTTACCGAGCCAAAATGTCCTATGAAGAATGAAATCTTAATCAAGGAGAAAATGGTGAAACGGAACGTTCGATCTTTCTCTGTTCGCGAGAAGAGAATGACTCACGTGGCCCAACGAGTTACGGAATATCTCTGCGCGTAAAATGTTGAATCAACAGATGATTATCCTCGCGTCTAATAGCCTCCATAGCGAAATTTACGTCCCCTGTTTAACCTGTTTCACTTTCTTTCGTTAACCCGAAGTGACACTTCAGCTTTCATGTCGCCGGGCACTTTAAGGGGTTCATTTTCATTAAAATGCTGCCGTGAAATATGAACGGAATTCCTTCTTTTTTAATTTCACTTAACCCGCAAAGGCTGTTCCCGGACGCCTTGGACCATTCGCGTCGTGCGAATTTTTATTTGAAATATTATTAAATAATGACTGGAGGGGGGGGGGAGATATCATCGTTTCGCGAATATTACGAGCGAAAGCTATTTACGCGTTGTTCAAGTAGCTTCCAAGTATATGCAAAAAGGATGACACGATTCGGTTTGAAAAGGGTCGAGACTGTGTCGGTAAAAAGCTCGAGCTTCTTACATCGAGTAAGACGAGTACGGCCTCGTTAAGAAAGTTAGTCTTAAATTACAGAGCCGTATTCGAGAATCGAGAATTTCTTGAATCGATACGCTTGGCTGGAGAGTGCAGTTTGACGTAAACAAATGTGTGTAAATAAATATGTGTCAGTGCAGATCCATAAAAATTATTATCATTATTTTCTATATAATATTAATGTGTATGATATATGTATATATAATTAATGTTAGATATTTATATTAATTATATATAATATTAAAAATTATGTATAATATAAAAATTATATTAATTATGTATAATATTGTTCAGATTAATATTTATATTAATTTATATTAAATATATATGTAAATATAAATTAATATAGATATTAATATAAATAATATTAGACATAATTACATTATACATAAATATATAATTGTTATAATTGTTAAAATAATATAATATATATTATATATATTATTATATTATATTATTATTATATTATATTATATTATATTATATTATATTATATTATATAAATATATTATATATATATTATATATTGTGTGTATTAACAATTATAACAATTATATCTATATTTAATATAAATTAATATATAATATGTTATATATAATAATATATATTATTAATTAATATATATATGTATTATATATAACAATATATGTAATATATAAAACGTTCGTACCTGTTCCCCTGTTCTCCAATTTCCCCGTGATCGCGACGCGCGAATGGAAATTATTTGAAAGCATGTTCGTACGTCTCGAAGTATTTACCGGAACGTCATTATCCACGGTCTTCCATTAAAATATTGTACCGTATCGGGATTCGATAAGTATCGCTCAACAAATCACACACTCGTGTCCGCGTTGTACCGCGCGCGGCGCCGCGGACGACGAATAAACCAAGCGGAAAGTCCGTGTGACGCGTCGTTACGTCGATCGCGATCCGATGCAATATTTTCAACGGCATTCTCGATTCAATGATTTTTCTAAATGCCCTCTCTCTCTCTCTCTCTCTCTCTCTCTCTCTCTCTCTCTATGTATACGTATAACAATGCTCCGTTGCACGGTAGCATAACCGCATGCATAAATAGATGTGCACGTGCGTTGATGGTCCGTCGCATGAAGGATCGTTTGCGGTGTTTGCCTTGTCTCTTCTCGATAAGTTTGCTTTCAATTGTCCTCGTTAATACGACCAATGAGACCGTTTCGCATCCGTCGTTCCCGTTCGTTTTATCGTTGCTTGGCTCTTCGTCGCAGCATACTTCGGGAAATGTAAGCTAATCTGTCACCATTGAACGCGCACTTTGTTGTAGCGACCCGTCGGAGATGGGATAAGATAGGACGACAAATCAAACGAATTGGAACACGTGAAACTGTTTAGAACCGTATTTTCGAAGTTTCTCGTTCGTTCGCGGGATCATTCGAATCGCGGCAAACTCGTAGGAAAGTACTCGATCGTAATCTTCGAGCGCAATTAATCGCGAGCAGCATAGCTTTCCGCATTCGAAAATGAAAATTCGCATTCGATTCGTAGAACATCGGCCGAGATAATTGTATTTTTGATAGCCGTAAGTAGAAACCCGTTCGCTCGCTTTTTCCATTTCCACGCGATGAAATTTCGGACGTTCGTTTTCGCGTTTGTTCCTCGCGTGCGAAATTTCAGAAAAGTTTTCGCAAGAATGGAACAACGTTGCGTCAGCTTCGGAAGTATTAATTAGTATAATCGGTTTAATTAGTTTCATCGGATAAGTTAGTACAATCGGGTGAATCGGACTAATTAGATAAATCAGTTCAATTAGATAAATCAGTTTAATTAGATGAATCTGTTTAATTAGATGAACCAGTTTATAATTGGATAAATCAGTATAATTAAATGAACCAGTTTAATTAAATAAACCAGTTTAATTAAATGACTAGGATTAATTAGATAAATCAGTTTAATTAAATGAACCAGTTTAATTAAATGAGCCAGTTTAATTAAATGAATCAGTTTAATTAAATGAATCAGTTTAATTAGATGAATCAATTTAATTGAATCAGTTTAATTAAATGAATCAGTTTAATTATATGAACCAGTTTAATTAAATGAACGAGTTTAATGAAATGAATCAGTTTAATTAGATGAACCAGTTTAATGAAATGAATCAGTTTAATTAGATGAATCAATTTAATTAAATGAACCAGTTTAATTAAATGAGTCAGTTTAATTAGATGAATCAATTTAATTAAATGAATCAGTTTAATCAGATGAATCTTTCTAATTACATAAATCAGTATAATTTATCATCAGTTAGTCGGTGTACAATTAATAACTGCAATAACAGCTGTAAATCGGAAAAGATTAGAAATTGAATTGAAAGTTGTGCGGAGCTTGTCGCGCGAGGCTTCGCGATGTTGATGTTGATTCGAAATTTCGAGACGGCTGATTTGCTGATTCACGCGGAAATTCCATCGCGTCGGCAGAATTGGCTCGCTCGTCGGTTCTGCGTATGGAAATCCAGTGTCTCGAAGGCCTCGTCTCCAGAACCACGTCAAGGTGCCTCGATTTTCCCCGCTCAAATAATCACAGACAACAAAACCACCGGGAATCGGTATTATCGTCGGGAGAATTGTAAGTCGTCAGCCATCGATTTAAAGTTATCGCTAGACTCCGGATTTTCTGCATCGGTGACGAAACTTGGCGTGTAAAACTTAGACAACGAGAAGACTTAAAGAATTTCGGAATATCAATACAGTGGGCCATAAAAGTGTTCGTACACTTTCTAAAACGTAATAATTTTTTCAAAATCTTTTTTGGGTGACTAAAATGCTTTTTTTTTAAATTTTGTTATTACACTTGGGATGACAAAGAAAGATCAGAAACTCTCGTTTTTTAACTTCTTTATCTGATAAAATTTTCAGCATGCAATTTTTTAAATTTCCGTAATGGGCTCGGATAAAAAAAGTTAAAAAACGAGAGATTTTTATTTCTTTGTCATTCCAGGTAATTGCAAAATTTAAAAGAAGCATTTTGGTCATCGCCTGGTTAAATTAGATGAATTATTGATAAATTAGATGACGGCACTTCTTTCCCCTGAAAAATATCAGCTATCATCTAAAAGATATTCAATTCGCTTAGTCCAGTTTTTAAAAAAAGTCATTGCGTTTTAAATGGTCTACGAACATTTTTATGGGAAACTGTATATCATTTTCGACTTATTGTCAAGGAAAATAAGAAACTACCGTCACAAACGATGAAGAATATTTGTTATTTTACGCGAAGATCTGCAGTCTAGCAATCGACATCAAAGTCTTGAGAAATCTTATTAAACAACGGTCATTTTAGCTTCTCGGTAGTTTTATTTCGAGTCGTTTAAACAGGCGGAAGAGTTGAACGCAAGAAATATACATACGTAAATGAAAGAAACTGAGACAAAGGGCATTATAAAAGTATTAAATGTGGATTCACTTGTATCGTTGAAAGAAGACGATGCAATCCGAGGATTATCCTGAAACGTTCTGACTTAAATTCTGCTCGTTATTATTAACTAAACAAGGCGTTCTTAATCCGTTGCATTACGGTCTATTTTCAAAGAAACGCGCGAGCGTAGACATTTCAATCGTACTGCAACTCTATGCGCAGTGTTACCACAAAATAATACTAAAATATTTCTCTTTCCATTCCATATGTTTGTATAAATGTTGACACAATTTCATCCGCAATAGATCAGATTAATAAAGCATAAAAATTGAAAAATATTCTCTTTAGAAGAATATTTTCTTTACAATGAAATTAAGAAAAAAATTCTTAACACAATTGAGAGAAGTTATTCTAAAGAAACTTTTTCAAACCAATTAGGAGAATATCTTCTTTGCAATGAAATGAAGAAAAAAGTTCTCAACACAATTAAAATTATTCTAAAGAAACTTTCTCAAACCAATTAGGAGAATGTCTTCTTTGCAATGAAATTAAGAAAAAAAGTTCTCAACACAATTAAAATTATTCTAAAGAAACTTTCTCAAACCAATTAGGAGAATGTCTTCTTTGCAATGAAATTAAGAAAAAAAGTTCTCAACACAATTAAAATTATTCTAAAGAAACTTTCTCAAACCAATTAGGAGAATGTCTTCTTTGCAATGAAATTAAGAAAAAAAGTTCTCAACACAGTCGAAATTACTCTAAAGAAACTTTTTTCAAACCAATTAGGAGAATATCTTCTTTTTAGAAGAATATCTTTCAGAAGATATATCTTTTTAGGAGAACATCTTCTTTGCAATGAAATTAAGAAAAAGAGTTCCCAACACAATCGAAACTACCCTGAAGAAACTTTTTCAAACCAATTAAATTCCTGTTTAATGATCGTTCATCGTAACTGTGACACAATTCTAGACAGAACAAAAGAACGTGCAAGAGAACGTATAAAAATCAATACATAATTCGTTTCAACGATTCGACGAAATTTCTCTGATTTTTGGTGAAATTTGCAGTTCGCGAAAATTCAATTCTTTTGTAGTTCGGCACAGAAAAATGTTGCGATTGCTGTACTTCTGAAATAACACGATATCCCTTAGTAATCGACGCAAAGTTCAATCGCGCTTTCCGCAGCAAAGCTCGAAGTCGAATCTCATTCTTGCTCGCGGCTTCTCCGAGCTTCTTGCTCGCCGAATTACGGAAAGATTCGTCACACGAAAAATTCGCCGTCGTCTTCGCCGATGGACGAGCGCGGGGATGTCTCGCGTCTGCCGACATTTTGGTCGAAGTTCGACGGGAACAACGGCACAATGCATACCGATTACGACACGTAGCTCGCGCGTATCCCGCCGGCATGAGCGACGAAGCTTCGCGCACACCGCCGATCTATAATATACGAACTTCGAATTTCCATTCGCATTGGCATTCAGCGGGGACGGCACTTCTCTCCCCTGAAAAATATCCGTCCGCCGGTTGTCTGAGCTCGGAGAGAGCCTGTCGAAAGTGCGGAGTATCAGTATCTCCTTTGCCGATCCACTGACCCGTAAAAACGCCGGATGAATGACATATCGGAGGGGTTATCGGCGGACTGCGACACGCCTCGCCCTCGCTTTCCATTATTTCAACGGGAATCCTTGCATCTTGCAACGGGTTACAAGGTCCCTCTGTTGCAATACCGAAGCGCGGACGCGTCGCGGAGACTCTAAATTCCGACGTTACGTCAAATGCGTCGTGCCGTCGAATCGTTGGTTCTAGATGATCCATGTTGGCGTTACTGAAATGATCAAAATACGATTATTATTATATTAGTATTATATATTCTTACTATATAATTCTACTATATAATTCTTACTATATTATTAGTATATTCTTCTTAATTGACGCGGTCGGATTGTGCAGAAAAATGGACAATTTGGGAAGAGAAAGTTAATAAATTCCATTCTAGCGAAATTCGGCTACATATTTGCAAAACCTTGTCAATCCTCGTATAGTAAATAAATTCTCTCCAATTTTCCTTCAGATTGTACACAAAAATGGACAATCTGAGCGCAAATTGGAGAGAATTTATTTACTATACGAGGATTGACAAGGTTTTGCAAATATGTAGCCGAATTTCGCTAGAATGGAATTTATTAATTTTCTCTTCCCAAATTGTCCATTTTTCTGCACAATCCGAGCGCGTCAATTAAGAAGAATATATACTAATAATATATAATAAGAATTATATAGTAGAATTATATAGTAAGAATATATAATACTAATATAATAATAATCGTAAAACAAAAANGAATTTATTAACTTTCTCTTCCCAAATTGTCCATTTTTCTGCACAATCCGACCGCGTCAATTAAGAAGAATATACTAATAATATAGTAAGAATTATATAGTAGAATTATATAGTAAGAATATATAATACTAATATAATAATAATCGTAAAACAAAAATGGACAATCTGAGCGTCAATTAGGGAGAATTTATTGTACGAATATTGACAAGGTTTTGCAAGTTTGTGGCGCAATTTTGTTAGAATGGATTTGATATGATAAATGGATCCGCTAAGTGGACTACAATTAGTCGAATCTTTAGTTTCTAATGTTATATGTTGTGTACCGATGAGATCCATATTGATGTTACTAAAATAATAAAAATACGACTATGAGGATTGACAAGGTTTTGCAAATATGTGGCTCAATTTTGTCAGAATGGATTTTACATGATAATTGGTTACGCTAAATGGACTACAACTAGTCTAATTACTTATTGATTACTGATGTTACACGTTTTCCTCTTTTTTGTTCTATTCCGCTATAAAACCCGCTACTGGATTTATAGCTACATTATTAGTGTCATCGAAATTATAAAGACGTTACTATAAAAGATTCACAGAGTTTTGCAAGATCGAAAAGATGGAAGAATTTTATCGCAATGATTTTAATATGAAAAATTAGCATAGTAAATGCACCACCACGAGTCAACTTACTAGTCCCTGATGTTTTACTTCATAGCTCGTTCAAATTATAAAAATACTTTCATAGAAAATCAGTACACACCACGCTTTTGCTTTACACAATTAGGTTTCGTGTGACAAGCTAATTTCGTAAATAAATTCAGCGAAGTAGAGATTTTGCTGCAGAAAGTAAAATACATGTTTTTCTAACAGCGATTAAAAATTTTCTTAGGCTTGGTTCTAGATTGACTTTTTAATATATTCGTTAGTCCCAAATCGAATTTTTACGTATACGTAGTAATAATAACAATAGTGAGATGAATTCTATTTATTTTAACCGAATAATGTAAATTCCAAATGTTGTGATTCTAACTATTTACCCTAAAAACTATACAAATATTTACAATCACACGATAATATCACAGTAAATTCTCCCTAATTTTCCTTCAGCTCGTGAACAAAAATTTGAGAAGAGAAGATACGATGAGCCACGCGGTTCATTTTTATAATTGCCGATCGTCAACGATTACAATCGTAAAAAATAATCCTATCTCCTCTTCCCAAATTGTCCATGTTTGCCTACAAGCTAAACAAAAATTAGGAAGAACTTACTATATGTACATCTGTAATATACATTCCCGTAGAAAAGCCTCCGTCACCAGCCCCGTAACGTCGCCCACCGAACGAACCCCCTGCACCACGTCACAGTTCAGCATCATACCATCGTCGAACCGAAAGCTCTTCTCACGTGGGCGCGTTACACGACGATAATTAATCGTCATGAATTTCGATTTTAATTTCGCCCCGACAATTGAACGGCCAACGAAAACCCGTGTAATTTCCCGTATATTTAGTTTGCAAATGGGATCGGTATTGGATAATGTCCTTCAATTAAACTTTAATGGAGTGCTTCAATTACGGAGCGCATTACCATTTCGTTTCAAGTAGCCGTGGACCGGCGCGGCGTCGCATCGTTCCACATCGAAACAACACTCCAATTTGTAATCGAAATCCGTCGCGCGTCCGCTGTCTCGCTAAATTCCTTCGCTATCAGATTTTCGCGAGTCTTTATCACCGACACGTTCAACCCCTCCCCCCCCTCTCTCTCTATCACTCACGCCACTTTTCTGTCATACTTTTCCCATTGATCGTAACCCTTTTTTTGTCTACGTAATAACGACACGATCGCAATTTGGTGGTGGATTATGTATCACTTCGCTCCCGATACACTCTGTAAATAACTCGGCTGCATATATTGGGTTGGGAACTAAGTAATCGCCGATTTGTTCAATGGAATAAAAAATTTTTTTTACTTGGAACGAAGTTTAATCTGTAATGTATTTTCCATTTTGTTCGATGACCTTTTGCCATCTCTCTGACAACTTGAAAATTCCACGCTCGTAGAAAGTCTGATCCTTTTCGGCCAAAAACTGAGTTAAGTGAGATTTTACAGCGTCGTCATCGTTAAAAGTTTTACCACGAAGGGAGTTGTCCAGGGATCGAAATAAGTGGTAATCCGATGGCGCGAGATCAAGGCTATATGGTGGGTGTAACATCAATTCCCAACCAATATTCATCAATTTTTGCCGAGTGGACAAAGACGTGTGCGGCCTAGCATTGTCCTGCTGGAAAATGACACCTTTACGATTGACCAATTCTGGTCGCTTTTCCTTGACCGCTGCATTCAATTTGCCCAGTTGCTAACGTTCACGGATAATAAAAAATAACATAATAATAATACTAATAATAATTTTATAATATAACATTTAGGAATATCATAAAAATGGGAGTGAGAGACATCTATAACTGAAATCGGCAATTACTTAGTTGCCAACCCAATAATTCACCGAACCCGCCTACGCAACTTTACGCTAACTCTAAAACAAATTGACCGTGTTGCCCCATGCATTTCGCGTGCCCGTTGCCGCCGCCGCCGCGGATCTCATGCGAATTGCGTTTATACCGTCGTGTATACTGTAAATAGTAGGTATCATACTTATGTGTGTTCATTGTCGTACCACTAACGCGACAACAGTCGCCGATTAATGTCCGCGCTGATCGATTAGCTCGCCGAGAATCGTCTCGGTCACGCACTCTCTCTCTTTCTCTTTCTCTTTTTCTCTGTCTCTCTCACTACTGTTGTAGTAATCCTTCCGAAAGTAATCAGCTGGATCCTCGCTTTTTTGTAAATAACAGGACAGATGACGGAGCGTGGATCATTGATTCTCTACCGGAAACGTTTGTTCTGGTAGCGATGGGACATTCGCGACAATTCCGAGCGATTTTTTACTTTCTTTTTGCGTTTTTCTTTTTTTACTTTTTCACCGCTGTACCGTGCATTATTTTTTGATACGAGGAACGTTCTTGTACTTCAACGATTTACAGTAATGTCTCCCTAACCGACGCTCAGATTGTGCAGAAAAATGGACAATTTGGGAAGAGGAGATACGATTCATTTGAGACTTGCGCCTTGTTTTTATAATTACCGATTCTCAAGAACTATAAAAACGAGGCGCCAAGACTCGAATAATCGTATCTCCTCTTCCCAAATCGTCCATTTTTCTGCACAATCTGAGCGTCGGTTAGGGAGACATTACTGTAGTTACGTGATAGAATTTCGAAGAAGAAAGTGTAGATCGCCTTATCGCAGTTTCGCAGATTCTTGGGACGATGGAGACGAG